CTACGCAGGACCAGTTGTTGAACAACATGACGAAGTTACTGGATTCACGTCTGGAGGGTTTCCAAAAGAGGATACAAGACAACCAGAAAGTGCTGTCAGATACTCAAATAGCAAGAATGGACGAATCACTAACCGACAATTACAAATTTCGAAAGAGGGGGAATGAGGAGCAACACAAGCACAACCAGAAAGTGTTCGTTAAAATTAGAGAAGCACACGCCGAATTCGAGACCGACAACTTGACGCAGTCAAACATTAACAGTGCCAAGAGAAAAATTTCTGAAGGTATGGACTTGATTAAAAATTGACAAAAGCTGATAAAACTTGCCGATTCATCAGACGCGGGATGGCGCGTGGTAGATGAATACGTAACTAACCCACTCGCAGAAGATTCAGAGGACGAAAAGGAGATGTATAAAGCGCAAAATAGAGCAGAAAGCAAGCTGAAGAAGGAAAAGTTAAAAAGACGCCCAGACCGCAAGAGCGTGCCATACACACAACAGGCCCCAGCAAAAGCAGCAAATTCGATCCCGGTGAACGTTAGTGGTGGATCCAGGTCTGATGTACGACCCGGTAGATGCTTTCATTGTAATGAGTACGGGCACTGGATAAGGAATTGTCCAAAGTCTGCTGCAGAGCAAAAACACAAGATAAGTATTGATACTACTATATGTAAAATCGATAACGTAAAACTGAATACACACCCAGAGACCGATCTAGCATCGGGTGAACTCTATTCAATGAGTAATGTAAATTCAATAACACAGACATCACGTGATGTCCAGTCAATGAGCAATACACATACTACTACTATAGTAAAAAATAACGGTACAGGTGTAGGTCATTTAAAAGAGAGCTTGAGCGAATGGAAGAAAATAGGTGCCACGGATTTTGTAATAGACATTATAGCAAACGGGTATAAAATTCCTTTCAGTACCATTCCATGCACGGTTGAATTACAAAATAACAAATCGGCACGAGACAATCCCGATTTTGTAAAGAGCGAGATTGAAAAACTGCTGAAAAAAGGATGTATTACTCGATTGTCTTGTAAGCCATATGTAGTTAATCCTCTAACTGTAGCTCATAAAAGAGGTTCAAAACTCAGATTAGTATTAGATGCAAGACATATCAATCCACATGTCGTTAAATTTAAACACAAATACGAAGATGCAAAAACTGCTAGACAACTATACGATAAAGGAGATTTTGTATTCTCTTACGATTTAAAAAGCGCATACCATCACATTAGTATTTTTGAAGCAGACACTACATATTTAGGTTTCAAATGGGAGCATGAATATTATGTGTATAATGTTTTGCCTTTTGGGTTGTCAACTAGCGGATATATTTTTACAAAGGTAGTCAGGGAGGTTATCAAATATTGGAGAAGTACAGGTTTAAAAATCGTCATGTATCTAGACGATGGCCTCGGCGGGGGCAAAAACATGAAAGAGGCTATGTTAGCGAGCGAACAAATTCACTCTGATTTGGAGAAATTTGGTTTTGTTCTTGCAGCAGAGAAGTGCAATTGGGCCCCTATTCAAAGTTTAGAATGGTTGGGTTTTCATTGGGATATGACAGAAGGGGTTATAAGAATTACCGAAAAAAGAATAGAAAAGCTTTTAAAAAATTTAGAAGTTTTCAGGACACAATTTCACTACGGGATTAGGCTTTTCCGGGTGAAATTCATTGCAAGTATTGTAGGACAGATCATATCAATGCAGCCTGTATTAGGAGATCAGGCACGTTTAAGAACAAGGTATTTGTATCAATGTATATTGCAAAGGGCAAGTTGGAACGCCCAAGTACTAGTTAGTACGGACGCATTCAAGGAATGCACTTTTTGGGAACATAAAGCTAAAAGCTTTAACGAGATAGGATCTCGGTTAAGTCAGTTGACTTATAATGAAACACAAGATTATTATGTGTTCAGCGATGCATCTGGTACAGGTTTCGGTGGTTTTGTTACCACTGGTTCAGAGGACGAACCTTTGGAAATGTTTGGTAGTTGGTCGTTGACGGAACAGTCCGAAAGTTCGACCTGGAGAGAGCTCGAGGCTGTAAAAAGAATATTGATAAATTTTGTCAATATTCTCACTGGTAAGATTATCAGAGTGTTCACAGATAACCTGAATATCACACATATACTTAATGTTGGTAGCAGGAAGATGGTTTTGCACAAAATCGCTTTGTTCGTTGATGAATTCTGCAGAGAGAATGCAATTAAGTTGAGCTTGGTTTGGATACCACGAGAAACAAACCAGTATGCAGATACTTTAAGTAGGGTAACAGATTGTGATGACTGGGAAATACAAGATGAGGTTTTTCTGTACCTTAATTATGTTTGGGGTCCACATGATATAGATAGGTTTGCGCATGATTACAATGCCAAGTGCAAGCAATTTAATTCAAAGTTTTGGTGCCCCGGGACTGCTGGGATAGACTCGTTTACAGTAGAATGGGGTGGATATAATAATTGGGTAGTTCCACCACCAAGTTTGATTCCAAAGGTAATAAATAAGATTAGTATAGAAAAATGTAATGGCACTTTAGTCATCCCGGAATGGACATCGGCACCATTTTGGCCTATGTTGGTGGATCGACTTGGAAATTTTAAGGATTTCATAGTTGATAGCAAGTTTTTTCAAGGGGAAAATCTGACTAAAAGAGGCAGAGGTCAGTGCGGAGTATTTGGACAACAGCGCTTAAAATTTAGATTAATTGCTATAAGAATAGAATTTTAGTTTGCAATATACTTATGACGTTATTTATTTTGACAGGGGTTAAATTAGACCGTACAGTGGAGGAGACCGTCCAGGACAGTGGGATAGAAGTTGGCAGTTATATGTACGAGCTTTATCCGAAAATGTGTGAACTGTTGATTAACTCTAAAAGTGACAATACCGTTAAATCATATTTTAATTCATATAAACGGTGGGAACGTTTCATTACTTTGCAAGGTCACAAATCTTTGCCAGCTCAGCCAGTTCATGTTGCACTGTATTTAACACATTTATTGAACAATAATTCAACTTGTCACCCTGTTTCTAACGCAGTTTATGGTATTAAATGGGCACATGAGATAAATGATCTGAACGATCCTACAACAAACACTTTCGTAACATCGATTCTTGAAGCTTCTAAAAGAGTAGCATCAAAAAAGACAGAAAAGAAAGATCCAATTACTCCTGAAACTTTAATTGAACTTTGTGACATGTTTAAAGATTCTTCAGATTTACTTGTTATAAGGGATTTGGTAATGATGATTTTGAGTTTTTCAGGATTTCTCAGATACGATGAGGTCAGTTCCTTACGTTTTTGTGATGTTAAAGTACACGAGTCTCATTTAATTTTGTGTATTCAAAAAAGTAAAACCGACCAATATAGACAAAGTTCTGAAGTCTTGATTTCTAGGGGTGTTTCATCTGCTTGTCCTTACACAATGTTTATAAGATACACTAGGTTAGCAGGTTTTGGTGATTCTGGTCAGCAAAACTTTTATTTGTTTCGGCCTATTTATAGATCTCGTAATACATGCAAGCTCATTACAAAAGATAAAAAACTAAGTTACACGGCGGCTAGAGAGTCAATTCTTAAGAGAATCCGGACAATTTGTCCAGAGGGAAACATAGGTCTTCATTCATTCAGATCCGGTGGGGCCACGATGGCGGCTAACGCTGATGTTAGTGACAGATGCTTAAAGAAGCACGGCAGATGGAGGTCTGACTCCAGTAGAGACGGTTACATAGTAGATTCCACTGAGAAACGTTTGAAGATATCTAAGGTATTAGGCCTATAGATTACCCCTTTCTTTGATTTTCTATCACATACGACGGGCTGTCGGCAAATTTGAATTTGCGTTTGAGTTTTATTTTTCTGCCATGCGTACAAAAAGGTGTTGTTGGTGTGCTGTCAGTGGCAGAAAAGGGTGTCATTTGTATGTCTGTCGTCTGTAGTATAGAGAATACTAATATTTTCCCGCGTTTCGATCAGTATAGCGAGAAAATGTTGTATTCTCGGTATGGAATCGTTAATTTTCGGTAGGCCGATGTACATCTATCCAATCAGGGGGCTGAGTTGTGGTCATATATAAGGTGTTTTTTGTGTGGTAACTTCACTTCTAGCCGTCGTATTGACCGAGTAAACTCCATTATTTTAAATGATGTTTATATATCTATTGTTAGACAAATATTTTTGCTTTTCGTTAACTGTTTGAACCGACGAGGTCCGACGTCATTATCCTGAGATAGGCTCGAGCATTGATTCGGATACAGGTTTCCGTAATACGGTTTTTCCTGGTCGGCCTAGGCTATCAATGAGGGGTAATTTATTAAACGTACAGCTGCCAATATTTTGATATTTTGCTGTGTTTTGTACATAATGATATGATTGGTGAATGAAAATGCCAATTGATTACTGATTTATATGCCTTATTTGATGATATGTCACGATTATATATTATATACAATTATATCTGGCGTCCATCACATACGACGGGCTGTCGGCAAATTTGAATTTGCGTTTGAGTTTTATTTTTCTGCCATGCGTACAAAAAGGTGTTGTTGGTGTGCTGTCAGTGGCAGAAAAGGGTGTCATTTGTATGTCTGTCGTCTGTAGTATAGAGAATACGATTTATTTATTGGTATAACTTTTTTTTAAATCGAAACTAAAAAATGAACATAGTTCTTTTTTCGTTTTAAATATCGAAAATAAAAATAATTAAAGCATAGTTACTTTCCATTTTTGATATCGACTATTAAATATCAACAGCTAAGGCCAGTACTGTAATTACTTTTTTTGTTCTATATTTCAATTTGAAAATAAAAAAAAACTCAAAAAAGAATTCTACATTTAAAATATTATATCCTGTATTTTGTATAACAGAAAGGCATAGATTTGAAAATGGGTAGGTTGAAAAGAATTATTGTGCGGATGTTATTCTGTACGACGATATCATAAAATTGAATCTCTCTTTTATTCAAACGATTGCAAAACCGGATGTAATAACTTCCACAATATTCACGCTACTTTCATTTTCATATTCAGGTCAGTTACAATGTTTACGTTTTATTTACACGAAAATATACATCAATCGAGGCTAATTGATAAAATTTCTTTGTTCTTCCTGTTATAACTGCATTTAGCCGCAGAATATGTTGTGACAAATAGTGTCTCTACATTATTGAACTTGTTTATGTATGTTGCTTGGGAACTTTTCAGTCTTGATAACCAGTTTGAATAAATTTATAACGTAGTCACGAAAACACAGTTTGTTGCTTAAAGTGAACAATCGCTTGCTTTTTAAAGTTCAATGTTCAAAATTGTCTACACACGTTATCGATCATAACCATTTGGCAAAAATGGCAATGTTTCCACTACAAAATGTAAGGTTCACTAGAAGGTATGGACACAAAATTTACTCTTATATGGAGTACGAATAAACTTGTTTATCCTACAATCAGTCCACTATTTTACAAATGACAGGCACACCAAGTACAAATAAAGTCTCCTGTTACCCCGCTTTCATGTTGAACAATTTGTAATGTGAATATTTCTTTTTGTGTGACAGTCCATTTTGGGGTCCTCTTTGCGGTCCGCATTTAAACTCCGTCATTTTCTTTGAATGAACAGAAACCTATTTGGATTTTATCAACTAAAGCTTCTATTGCCGGATGTAAATTGAAGGATAAAAACAATATATAACATTTATTTGTATTCGCTACAAAACAGAAGCAAAGCTCGGCGAGTCTCGCTTTTCGTCCTGTTTCTAAAGCTCGTACAAATAAATTATATATTTTCCGACAATGTACACATATTGTATATGCACCTTGACAGTTTTAAGGCAAGAAAGGACTGAAATAAAATGATAAATTCAAATGTATTGTTTATATTTCAGAATTTTGTTTTCCAAAATGTTGAGATTCCTTTTTTTTTTCGTTCTCACGGCATAAGGTGCCTTCAACAAAGTAAGTTGGGGAAAATGTATGAGACGACAATACTGAGATATCTGCACATCAATAATTATCAGTTAAACTGTTATAAATGGTTTTGTTTATTTTGTAAACTTTCTTCTGCAGGTTTAAAAAAGGGAATCTCAAAATACAAAAAAGTTTTTATCTGGTGGATAGTTAGTCCAAATAATTATGACGTCTTGAAAGGCTTTTTAAATTATTTCTGTGACGATTTGGACTAGTAGATAGTCGTCTCATTGGCAATCATACCCAACTTCTTATTTTTATATGTAAATAACTTTTATATACATGTGTCTACATGGTCTACGTCCTGCCTGCGTAGCTTAAACTTTTCTACTGAGATGCACGGGTTAGTCAGAATTTTGCTATTTTCGTGAAGCGAATTTTGAGATATTGTACATATAAAGTTAAGCACAACGTATGATACCAATAGAATTTAAAGCAAGATAAGATGTCCTCGTTTCCTGTTTTGCAAATTTAGGGAACTTCGCAGTAGGTTCATACTCAAATGAATTTAAAAGGTCTACCGTAGTTACTTTTTCCGTTAGATTTATTGCCATAGCCGGGATTTTTTTGTCACGGTAGCATTTATGGAGAAAGATATGAACGCTTTTACTCTTGTACGAAATTGAACTGGTCTTAATTTGAATCGATGTCAAATTAGATCACTTCGCGTTAACATTTGCAAAAACACTATCGATCTCGATCGATCTTTTTACTGTTTGTGATCTTTTAAACCCAGTACGGTTACACTGCAACATTAAAAGAACTGATTTGATAATTACCGTATGTTCGTATTCGTATTTAGCATAGGAAGTAGTTGAGTTATTGAAATAACGTGTGCATGTCATAAGTCAGACCTATGTGACAACGATTCACCTTTTGTAACGTGTATTTTTCAGCCGATATGCGTGGATTTATTTTCATATCTTTACTCACTTTCAGAATGATCAAACGCAATCGATCTCGGCGTTTACTATTGAAGAAAGATCGATTAAAACTTGCGAGCTGAGACTTTTGTATCCTATATATCTTTATGGAAAAGACGGCCCGACAGCCCGCTAATAAACTTTACCGGCAGCCAAAGCTTTTTCTTCCTTAATGTTTAAATCTGCCACCACGATTAGAGCTCTGACTAACGCCTTTTGATGTAACAGGATAATCTTAAAATAATCAGTACTTGAACGACTTAAGTTTTGCAAGAAAACTTGGAATGAAAATAGTCCCATATTTTTTTTCTGCAGCAACCCCTTAACTATCATATAAAATGCACGAATTAAGAAGTTTCTTTAGTTTTAATGATTGTTTCTTTCAGAGGAAGTGTATTAGACCATAAATGGCGGAAGGCGGAGGAGATGTTGTAAGTTCATTATTTTTATGCAATTTTTTATAACCATATGAGGGTGATACATTTTTTTGTAAAGGAATGTCCTATTTTGTTTTATAGCAAGAACATGAGTAGGGTGAACACAATTTTTATGTTTGTTTCCTAAAAGCACATAAAATCTTATCTTTTTAATCCAGCACTAGTATTTCATTTAAAAATTGTTTAGTTTTTTATACGCCCGTTTACGGGACGTATTATGGTATACCGTTGTCCGTCTGTCCGTCCGTCTGTCCGTCGTCAACATGTCGGACATTAACTCAAAAACGCTTTAACCAATTTGCATAAAACTTTGGTGAATTGTTTATATCTATTGACATGAGCTCCCTGTCGTTTTTTATAAATTTTAGATTTTACGTTTCCGAGTTATGGGGTTTTATTCATTAAAAAAAAGGGGGATTTTCCAGTTTTCGGACAATAACTCAAGAATGCTTTCACCAACTTGCAAGAAATTGTGGTGAATTGTTTATATCTATTGACATGAGCTCCCTTTCGATTTTTATATATTTTAGATTTTACGTTTCCGAGTTACAGGGTTTTATTCATAAAAAAAGGGGGATTTTCCAGTTTTCAGACAAAAAAATCAAAAATGCTTTCAGCAGTTCTTATGAAACTTCGGTGAATTGTTAATATCTATTGATGTAAGCTCCGTTTAGAATTTCATAAATTTTACATTTTACATTTCTGAGTTATGGGGTTTTATTCATTAAAAAGGGGGGGATTTCCCAGTTTTCGGACAATAACTCAAAAATTTTGTCAGCAATTCTCATGAAACTTTGATGAATTGTTTATATCTATTGATGTAAGCTCCCTTTACATTTTCATAAATTTCTAATATGACATTGAGAATTAATTGAACTTCATTTGTTTATAGTCTGACAACAGATTTACTAAGTACTGCGCAACAGCACAGTGTATTGCACAACAGCAAGAAATCTTTAATTGAATATAAATTCAATTCATATGACCAATTTCAAGTTCTTTGACTACATTTATTCAGAAACCTATAATATGTCAAATATTTAATTTCAATCCAATTCAGACCTGTATCAAGCTTGAATATTGTGTCCATTTTTGCCCCAACTGTTCAGGGTTGGACCTCTGCGGGCGTATCCAGATGCGCTCAGCGAAGCAGTTTATTTTCTATTCACACATTCGTCGATTGTTCGTGTATAATCTTGACTAAATCTGAACCATATTTTTTTATGATTTTGAAAATAGCATGATTATGGTGGCCGGATGCGGCCATTTCGCCTTTTCGCATTTTCGCGTTTTCTCCTTTCAGTTTGCAAACGCAAAATCGAGAAATCGAGAATGCGAAATCGAGAAAGCGAGAAAGCGAAAACGCGAAATCGAGAAATCTATTTCCCGTTTTCGCGTTTTCGCCTTCGCTTTCTTGATTTCCCGATTTCCCGATTTCTCCATTTCCCGATTTCCCGATTTCCCGATTTCTCGATTTCTCGACTTCTCGATTTCCCGATTTCTCGATTTCGCGTGAAAGTGAAAGGAGAAAACGCGAAAACGCGAAATGGCATGGATGTCCTTTCATTATTTTTGTAGTATTGTTACAGTCTCATTGACGTATACCCCACACCTCCTTCTATACATATGCGTTGTTTTCCAACCCTAATAAAACTGTCATATTGTAATGTTCATGTTAATATTCTCAAAATAAAATTTTGTGTACACTATACATATATGTGAAACTTAGAGTTGACGACACAAAAGAAAGTGATAAAGTTTCTACAAAATGCAGAGTAGCTGTCACTCCCGATTATATACATGATAGAAATAACTCCGGTCAGCCTTTCCTGCAGGTTGATCTACGATCAAGTATGTGGCCAGTCACAAACATTGAATATTGTTTGACCCCTGCATATGTGTAACTCATGTCAAAAATCAGAGTGAAAAATTATCAAATAACATTTAATGAAAATGCACACAAAAGACAGTGGTACATGTAAATCAGGCAATAAACTAACAGAGGATGATCATCTAACAACAAACAGGTAAAGCATAATTCTTTGCCGGATGAAATAACATCCGGCGGAAAAAATATTACATATAATATTGTAAGATTCTTTCCGCAGATATTTTCCTTTGACATGAAATTTTTACCGGAAAGGTTTAACAGATTTGGAAGAACAAATAGAAGTCAAACCTACTTGAAACCGAAACCAATTAAGAGACTAGAGATACACCCTTAATTTAAACAAATGATTATAGACAAGATCGTAACTTATACAAACAGCGAAAACATTGAAAGTAAGATATTACAGAATATACCACAGAAAGTTAAAGTAAACGCAACACGACCCTCTAAAAATATGGCAAGCCTTTTTCAACTGATGTCTATAGTTTTTATACGACCGCAAAAAATTTTGCGGTCGTATATTGGTATCACGTCGTCGTCGTCGTCGTCTCCAAAGACATTTGGTTTCCGGACTATGTAAATAGAAATCTATGAAATTTAAACACCATGTTTATAACCACAAAAGGAAGGTTGGGATTGATTTTAGGGGTTATAGTCCTAACAGTTTAGGAATAAGGGACCAAAAAGGGGCCCAAATAAGCATTTTTCTATTTTCCAGACAATAACTTGTGGAACGGTGTATGGATCTCTCTGAAATTATACCACAAGTTTCCATACCACAAAGGGATGGTTAGGATTGGCTTTGGGGGTTATTGCTCAAATCGTTTAGGAATTAGGGGCAAAAAAGGGGGAAAAACAAGGGTTTCCTGGTTAATGGACAATTTAAAAGCAGTGTAAGGGAGGAAATCCAAACACATTTAAAGTACAATGTTGTGAATGTTTGGATTTACCTCCCTTACACTTCTTTTAGATTATGTATAAAGAAATGTTGTATTGTCTTGAGGTGATTAGCTGTCAATTTATTTTTAGGAGTCACTATTAAAGGAATATTAATTTTAGCCATGATTATGTATGTCTTTTTCTATTTTAAGACTTTTATGATGTATTTAAATTAGTAATTATGGTTGCAAACTCCATTGGAAATTTGAATTGAGATTATGACCATATCTTGAGGGAAAGAATTTTTTTTTGGAAAAGAGGGGGGCGGGGGTGAAAAAAAAATTTAGGGGGGGGGGGGAATCTTTTTCTCATTTCAGATTTCAGAAATCAAAAAGAAAATTTCTTCAAATATTATTTTTTTTTTGCAAAAAAGGGGGCGGGGTCAATATGCAACAGCATAGTGTATTGCACAAAAGCAAAAAAAAAAAGGGGGGGGGGTAAAATTTTTTTTTTTTGGGGGGGGGGTGTATTGCACAACAGCAAGAAATCTTTAATTGAATATAAATTCAATTCATATGACCAATTTCAAGTTCTTTGACTACATTTATTCAGAAACCTATAATATGTCAAATATTTAATTTCAATCCAATTCAGACCTGTATCAAGCTTGAATATTGTTTTCATTTTTGCCCCAACTGTTCAGGGATTTGACCTCTGCGGTCGTATCCAGCTGCGCTCAGCGAAGCATTTTATTTCTTATGTTGTTCTGTTTCACCACTATCCCAGGTTAGGGGAGGGTTGAGCGCTCACAAACATGTTTAACCCCGCCACATTCTTTATGTGCCTGTCCCAAGTCAGGAGCCTGTAGTTCAGTGGTTGTCGTTGGTTCATGTCGGTCATATTTGTTTTTCGCAAATTGTTTTGTTTAAATTTGGCCGTTAGTTTTCTCAATTGAATTGTTTCATATTTTTTTATGTCGGGGCCTTTTATAGCAGACTAAACGGTATGGGTTTTTCTCATTGTTTAAGGCCGTACGGTTGCCTATAATTGCTTACATCCACTTCATTTGAACTTTGGTGGATAGTTGTCTCATTGGCAATCATACTTCATCTCCTTATTTTTATATAGTTTTCTGCGGACGGGTAAACAGTTTCTAATTTACTATAGTGGCACCTGTGATGACAATTAAAAATTTGGTAGTTAGTTGCAGCTATAGTGTCTTAAACGAGGTGAGTTAAAGACAAATAGAAATCCCAGTAAAGCATGAGGTACCAACTGAGGAAAAATAAAAGTGCTACCGAAAGACCAGTAAATGATTCAAGGACATTCAAGAGGAACAATAAAAAAAAGATAAGATAGTGTAGGAAATAAAACAGTTTAAAGGACTTTGAAACACCAAAAGGGTCTTGGAATATGAATAACACTTCTGAAGGATAAAATCGCTTTATTTTGACATCATATTTATTTATAACAAATAAAGTTAAGCAATATAATACTTTTTTTTTTACAAAAGAATGAATATTAAAACATTCGTTTGATTTTCAAATTGTTTGGTTAATACAATTTTACAGGGGTTCAGTTTTGAAGAAAAGAAGGGTGATTTATTTGATTGTCCTGAAACTGATGCTTTAGCTCATTGTGTCAGTGAAGATCTCAGAATGGGTAAAGGAATTGCTGTCTTATTTAAGAAGAAATTTGGTGGAGTTGGAGAGCTTATGTCACAAGGTATTACAATCAATTTTTGTTCTTACATGTTTTGTATAATTATGATAAATGATAAACTTGGTGCCAATAGAAATGCACGACCCCTATTAGTTTTCCATAGAGTTCACATTTATTTCGCCACCTGTTCTTAAGAATTAAACAATTCGGTGTTTAATTTTGATTACTGTTTACTTGGTATACATATATAGGATACAAATAAACCATGTTCTCTGTCATATTTAGGCGTTTTCTGATTTGAATATAAATAAGTTTACCTGCTTTCCTCTACAATTGGTACATCATGATCAAATTCGAAGGTAATTATGTAAATTTTGATTTTGACATCTATGAAACTTGATACGACTCTTGAAATTGACAGCACACGAAACGATAGCAAAAGATTGCCACAACTTTAGTCCAATGTTCAGTGATATTTTGACAGGAGTATTTAGTTATCTAAAGTGAAAAGTAGATCGAGTGTCTAAAATTGGATGTGGTGCGTTCATATTGGTACTAAGTATATGATAATATATATGAGTAACAGGTAGAAGAGCATAGACGGTACCAGATAAACTATGGCAGCAGCTTTTGAACCATCAGTTTTAAATTTTCATGTATATGTATATGTATATTTGAGAATTTCCCAACCGATCATAATTTTTAATTTCATGATTAAAATGTTCATCGTGATGTTCTTATGATGTTTTCGACTAATAAAACACTATCAGAAACAAAAAATTCCTCCCAAAGAAACTACAAAATTAAGTCAACATATATAACTATATTTATGCTTACATACTCTTATTTGTTATTATAATGATAGTTACCATGAACATACACACATTCCTTGTTTGGCCAAGGACAAAGCAACAACAGATATTCTAAAACCAACGCAAACAAACAAGATAATAACATTGTATTTTTAATTGCCTTGTGGGTAATTTTAGACATTACATAGAAATACTTGTTATAAGATTGACGATAACGAGATGATAATTTGACGTTATAATTGAGAGGAAAAGGGTGTGTGTAAAAAAAAAAGAATAATATAACCATAAAGACCTAAATACAGGCACCTACTAAATGAAAGTATCTAAAAACGGTTTCACTCCATTTACTTTCCGCACTAAGCAAGAATGAAAATGATTCTTGAAACAAGTATTATTTCAGAAACTTTACTTCACTTACAATGACAATATCTTTATTCCCATAATCATTACAGATACAGAGAAGGTGCACAATATGTACAGAAATACGCCAGTGGTTTCAAAACATATATTTTAGCCTGGATGAACCGAGTGTTAACACACTTTATGAACTTACATCATGTACATAATCTTTTTATCTCTGACTTGTTGTTTAACTAGCTCATCAGTTTTTCATCTGTTTCAACTGACGTAAGGTAAAGAAAAGTTAAGAACCCGGATAGAGATGTGGTATGATTATAAATGAGACTGATATACACCACATATCTCCAACAATGAATGAGGTTGTTAATGTTAACAAAATTTGAAAATGGCCACAATTAAGCAAATAAAATGGACTCAATCACAGTACACAAAAATAAATATATATAGAAATGACAAAAAAAAATGTATATAAAGCCAAATTTTGGTTTTCTTAATCAAAACTAAATTCCAGGATAGTTATTGTCTCGCCTTGACGGAATCAAAAAATGAGACTTAGATATGCTGTTTCCGACGGCGGTGGCGGCGTCAACAATGTATTAGTTTGTGATTAGGTCTGTCAATTTAAGGGGAACCACTTGTGGTAGGTCAATGATAATTGGTATGCAGATGCATAAGCATTGCCACATCTCTTTTCCATGGAGATTTTTTGGCTCTGTCTTCAGTCATGGCCACACGGTCTATTGACTTTAAATGTTTTGCATAGGTATCATGTTAAAGTTTTCGATTAGATCAGTTTAAGAGGAATCACTAATGTCAAGTCAATTATAGTATTAACATTTGCAAGTCTTCTTTTCCATAGAGATTATTTGGCCCCACCCCTACCAGGATCCATTGACTTTGAATTTTTTACATGGTTAACAAGTTAAAGTTTGTGTTTAGGTTAGTGTTAAGGTAATCACTTATGATTTGTCAATGGTATTTGACATGCAATTTTATAAGCATTAGCATTTCTCATTTCCATGGAGGTTATTTTGGTCCTTCACCTTAAGTCATGGTTCATTGACTGTGAATGTTTTGCATAGTTTACATGTTTAAATATTGCCATTTGGATTCAATATTTGCATTATACCATCAAAATTACAAAAAGGCAAGACATATCTCTGAATCAACAGTTTATTATTAGTAAACATAATATGGTTGTAAAATAACTTGACCATATTTTATTATGGTATATCGTTATATGTCAAAATTCAAGGCCACTATTAAAGGGAATTTCTCAGTCAAAATACTTTCGCGGCACATTTTAAAACATTTAGTTATTAACCATAAAATTGAATAAAAAATCGACTAGTTTAGCTAAATTGTCTTATGCGTTTTTTTGTGATTGGCAAAATATGACATTTCCGATTAAGAAGTTTTGGCTTTTTGCGCTAACACAGTGGAGAAGTTCTTGAGTAATTATGTTGTAAGCTTGAAAAAAGAGCCATAAGTTTGTAGTTGGTGCTTTTTCATGAGGGAAGCAGATATTGGAAAGGGGTTTGGTTAGTTATAGATTTAATCATGGCAAGTCTTTATAATTATGTTGATAGGCAAGAAGACTGGAAAAGTAGCAGTCCTGAAAAAGAAAAATAGGTTTATCTTTTACCTAATCACCAAGCCCAAAGGTCCAGGGAAACCTTCTTATGCTAGTATGGGTTCATGTCTTAAAGATCTGAAGAAACAGTGTATTGAGAATAACATACACGATTTATCCATGCCCAAAATAGGCTGTGGCCTTGATCGTTTAGATTGGGACAAAGTCACCGATATGATCTATGAAATATTCTCTGATACTAATATTCACATGACTGCGTACTATTTAAAATAAAACACAAGAATTTACAATATGACACGCGCCAATTAAAATTTTAGTTATAATACAGTTGAAACAGGAGTTTTATCAGAAAATCATCATAAAAACTGTTACAGTAAGACTACTGTCTGAAGAAAGGTAGTTGCTTACTTACCAACTTGGTGATGTTATATAGATTTGATTTAAAGTTGAATGAGATAAGCATAAATATGTTATTTAGGGAAGAAGACAGGAGGTGTTGCTGTATTGAAAAAGGAGAAGCGTTTTGTGTATTACTTGATTACTAAGGTCAAGGCCACAGGAAAACCTACATATGACACTCTCAAGGCGAGTCTGAAGGAACTTAAAGTGCATTGTGTAAAAAATAAAGTTCATAGATTGGCAATGCCTAAAATAGGATGTGGACTTGATAGACTGGAATGGGAAGAGGTTTCTACAATGATTTGTGAAATATTTTCGGACACAAATATACATATCACAGTGTATACTCTTTAACAGTATAATTTGTAACTAATGTGTGATTAGAATGAAGATAATTTGAGATTGCTAATAGGAATTATGTGATCAGAAGGATGGTTATTTGAATGAAGCAGATGCAGTCCTGTTACAAAAAAAAAATATTTTCAATTTTTAACAGTGAAATTTCGCTAGTTTGAAGCAAGTTGACAAATGTATACAAAAAAATCGAATCAAAAATAATAATTTTAGTTGTCTGTGTTTAGTTACTTGTTGACTGATAAATCGGCATGTGGTCAGAGATACCTCATTGATATAAGTGCTTGCTATGCCATGGTTTCCTGGTATCGAATGAACAGTAGGAAGTGTAATACAGATTGAGTTCTACATATCTTATGTTACAGTTGATGTTTGAAAATAAAGTTGTTTTTTCACATCTTAGATTTACTGTCGATATAGGTTTATTAGAACTTTAGAGGGTGATGTGTTCAACTGATATACATACACTTTTAACTTGTTCTATGCATATTTATTTCATATAGAATGAAACATTTTACATTTGTTCATTTGCAATCGCAACATTGAATTCTTCCCATATTCGACATTCTTTCCTACTAAAACAAAGTTCTCTAGGACATATACTCACAACAAAAATTGAAATTGGTAAATTGGAAACATAGCATTCAGATATATCTACGTGAACGCTTATACTCTAAGTGCCTTAAAACAAGATACGAAAAGGTATACTTTTCTCATATTAGGTTTGTTAAGTATTACATTGAAAATGAAGTGAATGGTTTACGTAAACAAAGTAAAAAGATAACAATTAGACAATGATAAAATTACAATATAGACATCACCATGGCAAAAACAAATAAAAACGAAAACACAAAAACACAAAAAACTGTTGATTGAGTATCAGGAAATTCAAATGGTGGTAAACTTTAAAAAATCTCTTGAACTCTTATCTGAATTGATCTATACTTATCTAGTAGCATACTTAGGAGATTAAGTTAACAAGAAATGTCAGATGACAACCGTTGTCAAACCAGCATGATTGCTATGCTAATTATAGATCATGGAGTTGAACAAGCCAGGACAGCAAAAAAGATAGTCAATTAAAAAAATCTTGAAAATTCTGTTAGGGACCAATATTCTAGACATTCGTTGAGGTGTTATACATTTTTATCCTCTTCAAAAATATGATTGATAGCGGAGCTTCGACTTTCACTTAAAATATAAAATAGAGCCAGGCATTGTTTATATGAAGGACTGATGTATACCAAACATTGTATCGTCATATCACTATGTCCCTTCAAATATGACTCTGATTGCTGCTAGATTGAAACATTGACCAGAAAAATCTAATTTTTAGAGAAAAAATAACTGGAAACAGTGATGAATATTCAAATCATTGTCCTTGTTGGCAATGGCGGATAATTGACTCACTGGCAATCATATCACATTGGGGCCCATCATTAATGAAATAGAAAACGTCTAATGGAAATGGATTTATATATGTTTTCCTTATTTTCGATTCCCTATACAGTTACTAGTATACTTATACTGTATTTGTCATTTGTAAAGTCTTAAAAATATACTAGTTAAACTGGAATAGAAAATCGGAAATAAGAAATAAAAAAAGACATTTGAAGGACTAAATTTGAACACGTTGGTTGAATAACACATTTCCTATTATTTCGCATTATTTTAGACAACTGAAAAAGGTAACTCCCACTACGTCTAGAAGAAATCTGTTTTAAAATGTAAGGAAAAAAATATGATAATGCATCAAAAGTTTGAAAATTGGCTCTCAAACTTTCCAAGATTTAACTTTAATAGCCTTTATTGACGCTGGGTAGACTAAGGTGAGTGATACAGGCGCTTCAGATCCTCTAGTCTTTGCATGATATACAATTCTGACATCGTTGTTTTGCTGGTATGTATTAATGTTACAGGTGTCTATATATACTGTATTAAATAACTATTGTTTTCTGCTCTTTGGTCGGGTTGTTGTCTCTTTGACGCATTCCCCATTTCCATTCTCTGTTTTATTAAAGTGCAAATATATAACAGAGTTTACAATGTATGAATAGTAGACAAATTAATAAGGAGAATGATGTTATTAATTAGCCAATTAGACCACCACCTTCATTACCATATTACAGTTAGAAAAAGTGTTTATCCTTCAACAATGAACATTAGCAGACACCTTTTTTCAATACGTTGAAGGAAGCAAAACTAAGAGTTCATTACAATGGCAAAATATGTGACTACATTAACCATGTGCTCACAGGATTGTGGATTCCTAGAGAATTATTCTAAAATTAATGTCGGCTCTGGCAAGACCTACTTTCAAAAGATTGTTCTTCTTTCTCTTAGTAACCATGTACCAGCAATAAGTAGAAACCACTTTGTTATATGTATGTAATATTCAACGAGTGACCGAACAACACATTTACATTTTTCTTTAATAGATACAAGAGTATAACACATTTGGTCGGCTGTTTAGGGGCCAGCTGAAGCCCACCTCCGGGTTCGGGATTTTCTCCCTTTGTTGAAGACCCATTGGTGGCATTGGGCTGTTTTCTGCTCCTTAGTCGGTTTGTTATCTCTTTTGACAGATTCCCCATTTCTATTCTCTATTTTATGTTCTAAATTTGAGATCCAGCATAAATGTGTTTTCGGCTTTGGAATAAATAAAAGTCAGTGGCGAATTTTTTTTTTGCGGGGGGGGGGGGATGCAGGGTGCCCGGCCCCCCTTTTATGGGAAAAATTTGGTTGATTATTTAGGGAATCACTTAAGCATGATAAAGCAGGCCCCCCACCCTTTATGAAAATTTCTGGATCCGCCACTGAAATATTTTAATTATCTTCACGTAAAGTATAATCAACAAATGATTTTTCCCTGGTAAATAGTAAGGAACCCTATAATTCAACGATTTAAAAACCAAAAGTGGTTGGTCAATGATATTTGGTATGCAGTTGTATTAGCATTGGCACAGCTCATTTCCATGGAGATTATTTGGTTCCGTCCCTCAGTCATGGTCTATCGACTTTGAAACTTTCTCTTAGAGTACTTGTTAAATGGTGTGATAATGTCAGTTTAGGCGAACGGAGCTTTTTTGGCACCTTCAAATGAATGTTTTGCATAGATTACACGCTAAATATTTCCATTTTAATTTGACACATTAAACTTTCAAAATTAAATAAAGGGGAGACATACCTCTGTGTCAACAGTTTTTATTACTCTGTTCTTATGTTGCGCTGTTACATCTCTGCCCCAGGGTACACTTAATTAGGGTCGACAATCACCCAGCACGACAGAAAATGAAATTGTACAACGAAAAAGATAGGAGGTAGACAAGATAGAATACGACCATGGCCAACTACAGATTATATACATACTGATATTGAAGGGAAAAGCAGGAATGAGAACCTTCAAGAACTATGCTAGAAATATAATTTAGTGTTACAACCTTTACTTAAAATTAAAGGGCGAGATAAGCCCTTCACCTAAAAACCCATTTGTTAATTATATTTTTGGGGGTTGAAGGTGCGATATATGCAAAAAATTATCCCCATAAAAATAAAAAAAATGGTAATTACTGCATTTGCGCAATTCACGCAGTATGTTGAAGTCTACTAGGAGTCAACTTAATGAAACTGGGTAAGTAGGGTCTTTTAGCTGTCTTTTTCCTGTATGTGAACTTAAAAGTTAAAACATGACAACGGGGTTGGTCGGAACGTACTCCTACTGTCATCGAGCCTGCATGTCTGCTATACTCCACTAATATTATAACCGGTGTTTTACGTGTGCTTGCCAATATATTTGCTACTGAATATGACATGTAAATGGATGATTCTTTCATAGCAGGAGGATCGAGACGTTTTACATGGTGTAACAACTAGTCTTACGTCCTTTGGAGTTGATGTGATTCTGACAATTTTTACTCCTTTGTTTATTCGATATTCCGTACAGTCTTATAATTTTTATACGACCGCAAAAAAATTTTGTGGTCGTATATTGGTATGACGTAGGCGTCGTCGTCGTCGTCGTCCGGCGTCGTCGTCGTCGTCGTGTCGTCGTCGTCGTCGTCGTCGTCGTCCGGCGTCGTCGTCGTCGTCGTCGTCGTCCGGCGTCGTCGTCCGAAGACACATTGGTTTTCGCACTCTCACTTTAGTTTAAGTGAATGGATCTTTTTGAAATTTGACCATAAGGTTAAATACCACAAAAGGAAGGTTGGGATTGATTTTGGGGGTTATTGTACCAACAGTTTAGGAATTAGGGGTCAAAAAGGGGCCAAAAATAAGCATTTTCTAGTTTCCAGACAATAACTGTGGAACGGTGTATGGATCTCTCTGAAATTATACTACAAGTTTCCATACCACAAAGGGATGGTTAGGATTTGCTTTGGGGGGTTATGGCTCAAACCGTTTAGGAATTAGGGGCAAAAAAGGGGGAAAAACAAGGTTGTCCTGGTTAATGGACAAATACTTTAGTACAAAACATAATTTAAAGCAGTGTAAGGGAGATAAATCAAATACATCATTGAAATTATCTCCCTTACACTGCTTTTAAATTATGTATAAAGTAATGGTTAATGAACAATAAAGATAATTTAAAACAGTGTAAGGGAGGTAATCCAAATACAACGTTTTGGTTACTTCCCTAACACTGCTTTTAAATTATGTTTAAAGAAATGCATATTTATAAAGGAAGACCAGTAAAAATATCTGCAAATGTTGCATCTTTTTTTTTTACAAAAAAATCCATATGAAAGATTTGACACTATATTTTTAATTCTATTATATATATAAAATAGATTAAGTTAGCACTATGGTAAATTTAAATGGGTAATTATGGTTGCCAACTCCATTGGAAATTTGAATTGAGATTATAACCATATCTTGAGGGAAAGAATTTTTTTGGGGAAAAAAAGGGGGGGGGGATAAAAAGAAATTGTGGGGGGTCAATTTTTTCTCATTTCAGATTTCAGAAATTAAAAAGAATTATTCTTCAAATATTATTTTTTTTTCAAATTTCAAATATTGAAAAATTTCAAGAAGTAATCTTTAATTGCACAGTATGGCGCATTAGATTTGTAAAATCTTTGATCACATTTATTTATTTGTTATGCCGAATCTAACAGTGTATTTAGATTTTTAATTTTGGGTCCAGTTTTCAAATTGGTCTACATTAAGGTCCAAAGGGTCCAAAATTAAACTTTGTTTGATTTTAGCAAAAATTGAATATATGAGGTTCTTTGATATGCTGAATCTAAACATGTATTTAGATTTTTGATTTTTGGCCCAGTTTTCAAGTTGGTCCAAATTGGGGTCCAAAATTAAACTTTGTTTGATTTCAACAAAAATTGAATATATGGGGTTCTTTGATATGCTGAATCTAACCATGTATTTAGATTTTTTATTTGTGGACC